ACTGGTGTTTTACAGATTCCGCCCCCACCCCCCACAAGTGTTCCCTCTAAGCTGAGTTAGTGTGAGCTAGCTCACGGTTTTTGAGCCTCCGGCTCAGACATTTTTGTCTTAGCTCAGGAAGGAGGGCTCCAGAGCAAACTAATTTATGCAGTAGCCGAATCCCTGGCTCACAACTTGAATGCCGGTGGCTCACAGAGTAGGATTTTTGCTCACAAGACTCCACGGCTTAGAGGGAACATTACCCCCCAGCCCTTATTGCTTTTTCAGGCAGTTTGAATTGAGGTTGGATCCGCACTCCGCTGGGCATTGCACATTGTTGTAATGGTTCAGCGCCTAGATTTTCCTGTCTCTACAGGAAAACTCAGGACACAATGAATCATGACAGTTGCACAATATCCAGCGATGTGACTGTGTTTACATGCCTTCCTCTTGTGTCAGTCTCAGCCAGCATGCAGGAGATCTGCCCTGACTCTGCACTGTTACAGTGGAAGTCTCAGTCCCCTTTGGGATTGAAACTTCTCTTGTAGGCAACTGGTTGTGGAAATGCTGATCGCCACTTTGGGGTCAGGAAGCAGTTTTTCTCCAGGCCAGTTTGGCCAGGTATCCCGGAGGTTTTTTGTCATCTTCTGGGCATGGAACAGAGGTTGCTGCGGGTGTGGAGGGGGAGGTATTTGTGAATCGCCTGCATTGTGCAGGGGGTTGGACTAGATGACTCTGGAGGCCCCTTCCAACTCTATGATTCAGTGAGACGATGTAGTTTGGCTGGGGATCCTGGAGGTTTTTTGTCATCTTCTGGGCATGGGACAGGAGTCACTGCCAGTGTGTGTGTGTGTGGGGAATATTTGTGAATTTCCTGCATGGTGCAGGGGTTGGACTAGATGACCCTGGAGGTCCCTTCCAACTCTATGATTCTGCGGTTGGAAGCAATGCTCCCTCTAAGCTGTGGAGTCTTGTGAGCAAAAATTCTACTTTGTGAGCTCCTGGCATTAATGTTGTGAGCGAGCGATTTGGCTGCTGCATAAATTAGTTGGCTCCGGAGCCATCCTTCCTGAGCTAAGACAAAAAGGTGTGAGCCGGAGGCTAAAAAGCTGTGAGCTAGCTCACACTAACTCAGCTTAGAGGGAACACTGGTTGGAAGGCGAAGAATTAGAGAGAAATGCAGTTGGAACAAGGGTGAGTTGAGCGCATGCAAAGGCAGACCAGAAACACCTAACTGGGTACGAAACTCTGGCGTACTTGAGAGCCCGGAGGCATGTTTGTAAACAGAAGCAGTGAGGCCTGCCAGTCCGTTCTGTTTCCTTGATCCACTCAGAGCCCTCCCTTCATTAATCATCGGATAGATTGAAGTCATAATCCCACCGCTATGACATCAGTGGGTTGCTATGGTTATCGGGGCAATGAAACCAGAGCAGCAAGTAATGACTTAATTGGGGACTCAAAGAGGAGATTACCTTTTTTTAAAAAAAAGGTAATTCATCTAAATATATTAGGAAGGTACAACAGGCTGTTGTTTCAGAGGTCAGTTTAATGGATTGAGCTCTCTCTCTCTGACCTTGGATTAACCTCTGCCATCACTTTCTTGGTACTTTTTCACTGCATTTTAGGTGGTTAGATTGCTTCCTCCAGCCCATGACCCCAAATTTGTATATTCCTGACTTTGCAAATGATCCTGAAGAGCAAAGAAGGTTTCTCTGCCAGTTCCCTCAAAAGTAACAGAGCAGTTGATGCAAATTGGGCTTATACTTAATACGTGACTAGGGCTTATATCACCTTGAATTGGATAACACAGGCTAGAATCGCTTTCTATATGCACAATCAGATTTTTTATATATATATTTGTAGAAAAAGCCCAGCAGGAACTCATTAGCTTAATAGGCCATACCCAACAGCAGAAACTCATTAGCATATTAGGTCACACCCTGACATTGTGGCTCATTAGCATATTAGGCCACACCCCATGCCTTCCCTTCGGTTGTCCGGGCGACCCACGGCTGCGGGAAGCCCGGGCAAGCCAGCCCTTGGACAGGCCGGGGAAGGCACGGGGAGGCATTTAAATGCCTCCCCAATCCTTCCAGGCCCCCCTGGCCCGCCCGCCTTGGAGTCACGAGGGGGGGGGTCACTCTCCAGGCCTTCCCTCTGTAGCCACGCATGCAGAGGTTCTGGCTGTAGTGGGCGTGGCCAACTCTGAAGCCAGCCGGAACTCTGTTCCTGTGAGTTCCTGCCCAAAAATAGCCCTCTGTGTGTGTATATGTGTGTGTGTGTGTGTGTGTGTGTGTGTGTGTGTGTGTGTGTATTGCCCAGGCTAGCCTGATTTCATCAGATCTTGGAAGCTAAGCAGGGTCAGTCCTGGTTAGAATTTGGATGGGAGACCACCAAACAGAGGCAGGCAATGGCAAACTATCTCCAAACATCTCTTGCCCTGAGAGCCCCATTAGGTTGCCATAAGTAAGCCAGTTTGGTGTAGTGGTTAGGAGCATGGCCTCTAATCAGGGAGAACTGGGTTTGATTCCCCACGCCTCCACATGCAGCTGCTGGCATGACCTTGGGTCAGTCACAAGTTCTCTCAGAGCTGTTCTCTCACGAGCAGTCCTCAAAAGAGCTCTCTCAGCCCCACCTACCTCACAGGGTGTCTGTTGTGGGGAGGCGAAGGGAAAGGAGACTGTAAGATGCTCTGAGATTTCGAGTAAATGGTGGGAAATAAATCCAATCTCTTCTTCTTTTTCCACACACATTTATATGTACCAGGGCTTTTTTTTGTAGAAAAAGCCCAGCAGGAACTCGTTAGCTTAATAGGCCACACCCAACAGCAGAAACTCATTAGCATATTAGGCCACACCCCTGACAGTGCAGCTCTTTGGCATATTAGGCCACAACCCCATGGCTTCCCTTGGCTTGCCTGGGTGTCGCACGGCTGCGGGGTGCCCGGGCAAGCCAGCCCTTGGACAGGCTGGGGAAGGCACAGGGAGGCATTTAAATGTCTCCCCAATCCTTCCAGCCCCCCCCCCGGCCTGCCTGCCTTGGAGTTGCGGGGGGGGTGTCACTCTCTAGGCCTTCCCTCTGTAGCCATGCTCACAGAGGTTTTGGCTATAGTGGGCGTGGCCAACTCTGAAGCCAGCCGGAACTCCGTTCCTGTGCGTTCCTGTCCAAAAATAGCCCTGATATGTACAACAAGGAATGGAATTTGCACTAGAGACTGTGTATACCAGAACTGGCAGTAGCAGAAGCCTTGCTGACCTCCCATTGGGGCCTAGAGATCTCCTGGAATTACAACCCATCTCCAGACAACAGAGATCAGTTCCTCTGGAGAAAATGGCAGCTTCGGAGGGTGGACTCTGTGGCATTATATCCTGCTGAGGTCCCTCCTCTCCCCAAACCCCTCCCTCCCCAGACTCCACCCCCGAATCCTCAGGAATTTCCCAGCACAGAGTTGGCAACCAGTGCTCCCTCTAAGCTGTGGAGACTTGTGAGCAGAAATTCTACTTCGTGAGCTACTTGGCATAGAAATTGTGAGCAATCGATTTGGCTACTGCATAAATTAGTTTACTCTGGAGTCATTCCTTCCCAAGCTAGGACAAAAACGTGTCAGCTGGAGGCTAAAAAACTGTGAGCTAGCTCACACTAACTCAGCTTAGAGGAAACACTGTTGGCAACCTTAGGTGGGGGCAGGGGTCATTTCCTGCAGGAGCGCACAGGAGCGGAGCTCCGGCAGTAAAGAGCCCAGGGGGCGGGCACATGCAACAAGCCCCACCCCCTGCTCCCAGCAGCCCTTAGTCTGAGCAAGAAGCAGCCAGGTAAGTTGCAGAGCCCCCCAGCCCAGAACAGTCCAGTGGCACCTTTAAGACCAAGTTTTATTCAGGTACAAGCTCTCCCTCCTCTGCGAGGACAGATCTGCACGTTCCCCCCCCCAATAGCTAGCAATCTAAAACAGTCCAGTGGAGCCTGAGCAGTGGGTGTTGCCTTCTGACACACTTCTGGTGATGTTGGGAGGGGGGGTGGCATATGCAAATAAGTTATGCTAATAAGTTATGCTAATTAGCTCCTGCACCTCTTTTTCTACGAAATGACCCCTGGGTGGGGGTGGTAGTTCCTAGGACTAACCCATCCAGATGGAAAATGCATTGTGTGTGCATCCTAATTTTAGCATCGTGTCTTGGCTCCTCTACATCATGGTTTTTAAACCACTGCCGTTATTTTCCTTGGCAACCTGGAAAGCCCTGAACATTCAGCCATCGCCTGTGATGGATTCTTTTTAAAATCCCTACTGCTTAAGGAAATCCAGCATGGATCGCTCTTGTTGAGGTCTGACAGACACGGCTGAAGGCTAAGGTGGTGACAATCTGGACCTCCTTCTTATCTGCTGGAAAAAAAACCGGTCTGGCCCCCGGGGTCCTATCAAACTTGGATCAAAGTATGGCTTAAGAAAGGTCGTTGGCACACACAAAAGAAAAGGAAACAATAACGTTTCTCTGATTATCTTGTACAACTTGAGTTGTGTGGGTTCTGGAAAAGGCGGATTAACTCGAAGATGGAGATGGAGGAGGAGGAGGAGGAGGAGGAGGAGGAGGAGAAAAGAGATTGGATTTATACCCCGCCCTTCCCTCAGAGTCTCAGAGCAGCTTACAAACTCCTTTCCCGTCCCCTCCCCACCACAGACACCCTGTGAGGTAAAAGAAGAAGAAGAAGAGATTGGATTTATACCCCACCCTTCACTAACCAAGGGAGTCTCAGAGCAGTTTACAAACTCCTTTCCCTTCCCCTCCCCACAACAGACACCCTGTGAGGTAGGTGGGGCTGAGAGAGCTCTTTCGAGAACTGCTCTTTCAAGGACAGCTCTGACAGAACGATGGCTTGCCCAGGGTCATCCAGCAGGTGCACGTGGAGGAGTGGGGAATCAAACCCGGTTCTCCCAGATTAGAGTCTGTGCACTTAACCACTACACCAAACTGGCTCTTGAGGGGAAGCTTTGGAAAGCACGAACCTTCCATGCTGATAATGGGGGAGGAGCTGTGGTTCAGTGGTAGAACATCTGCTTTGCGTGCAGATGGTACCGGGTTCAATCCCCGGCATCTCCAGTGAAAAGGACCAGGTAGCGGGTGATGTTCTCTGAACTCAAACTAGGTTCTACTAATTCATAGGGTCCTTTCCGCATTTGCCCGCCACTCCAGATTTTCTCAGTGTTTACATGGAGGCAATTTAAGGCTACGGCAAAACAGCATCCAAATAACCCGGGCCAACTGACCTGGATTAAAAAGGAGGTTGAATTCGATTTTGGTGCAGAATTGCTTGGAGGACACCACGCAGGGGCGGATGAAGGCTCACTGGTGCCCTAAGCACTGGCCAGTCTTGGTGCCCCCCTCCTTTCCACACCGACCCAGTCCATTTTAGTGGTTGACCTGTCTGACCAGATATACAATGCAGGTTGCAGCAAATACAAACCTTTATTCATAGGATAACACAATATACTGTACAAACTAAGCCAAGCTTGGGCGACATAAAGTTCTACAAAAATGCAATACGACATCTGTTTTAATATTTCACAAGTTAAATGTATCAACGTTCCAATATTCACCCTTTCCCCCAACTTTGTGGTGCCCCCTTTGGACCTGGTGCCCTAAGCATGTGCTTAGTCTGCTTAATGGTTAATCCGCCCCTGACACCACAGTGAACGAGGGGTTAAAAGGAGAGGGCCTTGAGGGCACTTAACATACACAGTAGGTGACCTGAAAGACTTCTGCTGTGAGCGTGGAGAGCTGCTGCCGGTCAGACGAGATTGATTTTAATGGATCAATGGTCTGGCTCATTCTAAGGCAATTTATTGTGTTCATTTTACACTGCCCTGTACCTGTGCTTTATCCTTTTTGTTACAAAGCCTGACTAAGCAGAGAGGGGGTCAGCCCTGACCTGGATAGCCCAGGCTAACCCGATCTTGTCAGATCTCGGAAACTAAGCAGGGTCGGCCCTGGCTAGTATTTGGATGGGAGATCTCCGTGATGCAGAGGCAGGCAATGGCAAACCGCCTCTGATACGTCTCTTGCCTTAAGAACAAGTCTAGCTCGCCACCTAGTGGTGCATAATGCTAAAAGAGCTAGGTCTTCTGGCTGCCAGACAAACTTAGGATCTCCTGGCTATACTACACACAATGCTATATGATGATGATGATGATGTCCCAGATGCTACACCGGGCTAAGGGCATTGAATTAAGAGAGAAGAGAGAGATTGGATTTGTACCCCACCCTTCACTCGGCGTCTCAGAGTGGCATACAGTCTCCTTCCCTTCCCCTCCCCACAACAGACACCCTGTGAGGTAGGTGGGGCTGAGAGAACTCTGACTGAGAACTGCTCTTGTGAGAACATCTCTGAAAGAACTTGTAACTGACCCAAGGTCACACCAGCAGCTGCATGTGGAGGAGTGGGGAATCAAACCCGGTTCTCCCAGATTAGAGTCCCTGTTCCTATCCACACCACCAAACTGGCTCTCAAGGAAACACAGTGCCCATCCCTGAACTAGAGCACGGTGTTTCCACCCTGGTTTACTGGTCTTTGGCAGAAGCCGAATACACAGAAAGGTACCGACGGCAACAAAGAGGAGTCTTGCGATACCTTAAAATGGATTCATTGTAATGTAAGATTTCAGGGGCTAGTGGCCACGTCATGAGGTGCATGACAGGAAACCTCAGGTCACAGGTGTGTATGTATGTATACACACATACCCACACCCAGGGGTCATTTCCTGCAGGAGCGCACAGGAGCGGAGCTCCGGCAGTAAAGACCCCAGGGGGCGGGCACATGCAACAAGCCCCACCCCCTGCTCCCAGCAGCCCTCAGTCAGAGCAAGAAGCAGCCAGGTAAGTTGCAGAGCCCCCCCAAAAAAAAAACAGTACAGTGGCACCTTTAAGACCAAGTTTTATTCAGGTACGAGCTCTCCCTCCTCTGTGAGAGCAGATCTGCACGTTCCCCCCCCCCAATAGCTAGCAATCCAAAACAGTCCAGTGGAGCCTGAGCGGTGGGTGTTGTCTTCTGACACACTTCCGGTGAGGTCAGGGGTGTGTGGCATATGCAAAGAAGTTATGCTAATGAGGTATGCTAATGAGCGCCTGCACCTCTTTTCCTACGAAATGACCCCTGCCCACACCCCTAGAGCAGAGGTATCCAACCTTTTTGAGCTTGTGGGCACCTTTGTCATTTCAAGAGGGGATGGTGACCACTGCCCCAAAATGGCTGCCACAGGAGGTGGGGCCAAACCCAAAATGGTTGCTGCACGAGGTGGAGCTGAATGGAATACCTCCCTCCCCACACCTCCACGGCAGAAGGAAAGCCTGAAGGGTGAGTGGAACTGTGCACTGATTAAGGAAAGCCTGGGAGCTTCCCAGCCCCCCTGTTCTCTAGCGGAAAACCATTTCAAGAAGAAGAAGAAGAGATTGGATTTATACCCCGCCTTTCACTCAGAGTCTCAGGGCAGTTTACAAGCTCCTTTCCCTTCCCCTCCCCACAACAGACACCCTGTGAGGTAGGTGGGGCTGAGAGAGCTCTGAGAGAAACTCTTCTTCTTCAAGGACAGCTCGGACAGAACAATGGCTTGCCAAAGGTCATCCAGCAGCTGCGAGTGGAGGAGTGAGGAAATCAAACCCGGTTCTCCCAGATTAGAGTCCGCGCTCCTAACCACTGCACCAAACTGGCTCTCAATATAAGCTGGAAGAGACTGAAGACAATTGAATGAGGACAGCCAGTGACATGCCCCGCCTTACAGTGGCTCCCCCCCCCTCGCCACTTTTTGAAAAGCCCAGAGTGTGCTAGGGTTGCCAAGTCTGACTTACCTTGCCGGCGGGGGACTCTGGGTTGGCTCCCGGCGCGTGTTTTCCCTTGTATGGCCCTGGCCCCACCCCCAGCATGCCCAGCGTCATAACGTCACTTCCCTGTGCCGTGTACGCTGGGGCGGGGTTCCCCCCCCCGGGGCCCGAATCCCCGATGTCGGGGAACAGACCTCTGGGGCGGGGGGATTTCCACCCCCCAGGGGGACTTGGCAGCCCTAGAGTGTGCCAAACAAATTACTGGCAGGTGCCGTGGTGCCCACAGGCATCAAGTTGGGGAACCCTGACCGGTAGCAAGGAAAAAAATGTGAACAATGTGGTTTAAGGGCCATGATGACACACACACGCGGTATTATGTGTGGTATTCCTTCGCAAGCCCGGAAAGATAGAAAGATAAGTACGCTGGGATTCAATTGTCGGTCCTCGAGAATCCCAAATACTCCTGTTTATTTTTAGTGTCCCGCGCCTACCCTTCTGAAACCACAAATAATAGGAAGTATCTCTTCGGAAAGGAATCCATACATACCATTTATAGTTTCAGGCGTGTGGGTGTGTTGATCTGCACTAGAAGAGCTGGATTCAAATCCTGACATGCCTTAGAGACCAAGAAAATTTTTCGGGGTAGGAGCTTTTGAGTCAAAGCACCCTTCGACAGACACCTGATCTTTTGACTATACCCCCAAAATTGTATAACCCCCCCCAAACAATGCTCCCTCTAAGCTGTGGAGTCTTGTGAGCAAAAATTCTATTTTGTGACCTACTGGCATTAAAGTTGTGAGTGAGCAGTCTGGCTACTGCATAAGTTGGTTTGCTCTGGAGCCATCCCTTCCTGAGCGAAGACAAGAATGCGTGAGCCGGAGGCTAAAAAACTGTGAGCTAGCTCACACTAACTCAGCTTAGCGAGAACACACTGCCCCCAAATCTTGTCAGTCTCTCTCTAAGGGGCTACTGGACTCAAATCTAGCTCTCATACTCTAGGTCAGGACTATATTTCGTGACAGGAGGAGGAGGAGATTGGATTTATACCCCACCCTTCACTCAGAGTCTCAGAGCAGTTTATAATCTCCTTCCCTTCCCCTCCCCATAAAAGACACCCTCTGAGGTAGATGGGGCTGAGAGAGCTCTTTTGAGGACTGCTCATGAGAGAACAGCTCTGAGAGAACTTGTGACTGACCCAAGGTCATGCCAGCAGCTGCAAGTGGAGGAGTGGGGAATCAGACCCAGTTCTCCCAGATTAGAGTCCGTGCTCTTAACCACTACACCGAACTGGCTGACCTCTACCCACTAGCTGCGTATGGCAGCCAGCCAAGTGCTTTACACACCTCTTGTTCTTGCAGTCCTAGACCGGCAACCAACCCAGGAGGATTCTGTTTATCCAGGTTCAAAGTGAACGGTTGTTTTACGGCTGTCAGGCTGTGTTTGGTTTACTGGGTGACGGTTTGTGCAGGTCTCACCCAGGTGCTGGAGCGCTGGCACACTGATTCGGGTGGACAGAAACAAAACAGTGGCACGTGACTGACTGTCTGTGCACGTAAACAAGGTGGAAGGTGGCAAAACAGAAGCCCACAGAGCTGAAAGCAAAGGGCAGGAAGTCTCTCTTTTTTAATATGTATATATATATTTCAGTTTTCAACACCATACAGTTCTTTATCATATCGTGCAATAATGTAATAGTTACGAATTTTTCACCAGAACAAAAAATAACTGATTAAATCTTATAATAACCTTTAATCAAACTTCAAAAATATAACATAGTTCTACATTGAGGATTCTTAGGAATTATGTTATTTTCCGCCATACAGCTTAGAAGAAGAGAAGAAGGATTGAATTTATACCCTGCTCCTCACTACCCAAAGGAGTTTCAGACTCCTTTCCCTTCCCCTCCCCACAACAGACACCCTGTGAGGTAAAAGAAGAAGAAGAAGAGACTGGATTTACACCCCGCCCTTCACTACCCAAAGGCGTCTCAGAGCAGTTTACAAACTCCTTTCCCTTCCCCTCCCCACAACAGACACCCTGTGAGGTAGAAGAAGAAGAGATTGGATTTACACCCTGCCCTTCACTACCCAAAGGAGCCTCAAAGTGGCTTACAAACTCCTTTCCCTTCCCCTCCCCACAACAGACACCCTGTGAGGTAGAAGAAGAAGAAGAAGAGATTGGATTTACACCCTGCCCTTCACTACCCAAAGGAGCCTCAAAGTGGCTTACAAACTCCTTTCCCTTCCCCTCCCCACAACAGACACCCTGTGAGGTAGAAGAAGAAG